AGCTTTGAATATTTAATTGGTAATGTCTTATTGCACACACAAAGTGGGTCTCTCACTTTGATTTGGTCTTGTCGCTCCAGAAGGAGGTCATGATCAGAGTTGACACAAATATCATTGCAATGGCTGGGGGTGTGGGCAGTTTGCCTGCAGGCTGAGATAAGTTCTGTGCAGAATGTGTGTGAGGTCCAGACTGGACATGGCTTTAAAAGTCTTGATTTCTCTACCTAAAAAGCAGCTGCAGAAGGTCCCATTTGGATTGGGACCATTATGCTGGAGGAGATGTTTTTAAACAATAAACAATAATGTGCTCTTCTGCCATTTCTCCAGTTTAAATCCACCCAAAGCTGCTATTAGCTGGAAGGGAGAGGGGGAGAGAGAGAGGTACAATGTGAGCACATATTCCCCCCTTTAACTGTGGCTAAAAGAATATTTAGAAGACAATTTAAATTAGTGGGACAGTGGAAGGGGTTAAGCCTTTTCTGCCAGCACCACAGCCCTGCAGCTTATCAGACCTCCACAGCTGCTTTTCAGCAAGGAAAAAGATGTCAGGACAAGAGAACTAATCATAGATCTCCCATGTCATGTCTAGCTTGTCTCTGGTGAAGAGCATCCTTGGCTGTTTGCAGTTGAAATTGATGCACAGACTCATAAGGCTGTGAGTTGTCTGAAAGCACCTTGGGGAACGCAGAGCCTTTCTCTAGGGGCTTGATGAGTCATAATGGATCTGTTGCTCTGTAACCGTGTTGCTTGCCATCACTTACTGTTTGCTATACTTATAAATAAACCAAATATTACAAATGCACCTTAGCCATCTCCAGTGCTTGTACTCTCGTCTAAAATAAATGTCCCACCGCTTGGGAAATTGAGGAGTGTGTACCATTAGTGTTCTGTCTCATCTCTGTGTTTGTTTTTTGACACCCTGCAGCTTTCCTGTCAACATCAGAGTGTCTGGAAAAGGGACAGAAATGCAAGACACTGATCATAACGGCTCATCTTCCTTAAAGGGAAAAAAAGACTAAGGATGTGGCAGAAAAAGGACAACTGTGGAGTCTAGGGAGTATAAAATCAGGAGGGGTGTGAAGGGTGAGAAAGAAGTCATTCACAACCTCTCATGATATGAGCTAAGGATTATGCAGTTAAACTTGCAGCAGCAGCTTTCAGAGAAATCACTTCCCAAATAACTTTTAATAGAGGTTAGGATGGAGTCATACATAATGATGATCACATGGTTGTTACCTCAGAGGACTGACCTCGATGGACCATTAGCATGACACAGCATGGGCATTCTTACATGCGCTCTCCAGCAGGAGCTGGGTAGCTAATTTCTTAATTGATCAGTTCATGCTTGCAGTGTGACTTCCTGCAGGTTCCCTTGAAGCATCATCTGCCCATTACCAGAGAATGGTTCAGTTTGGTTTTGGAAATGATTTTAAGCCACCACTACCTCTGTCCTGTCTATAGTGTCATGAAATATAATAATCTTGATTAGGCACTGTAGCAATGTTTGGACACGCAAATCCCACATTGCCTAAGGCCTTTGTTCAGCAATGCATGGACGTACATGTCTATCTTTAAACATTATCCCAACATGCAATCAGCTAGGAATGTGCTCCAGTCTCTTGAGATGAGCCCTCGGTCAGTAACAGAGCAACCAACATGTATACACATGTATACACAGTAATATGTGCACAGCCAGTCACAATGTCACAGTGCTTGATGAAATAGAGACATGTGACAAAGACATTCCTGATGAACTAGTTCTACTGGCATAGCTAGGATAGTCTTGGGACCAGAATTTCAGAAGAGACAATAAGTTGATTTTGGTTCCACTCCTATACAAATTAGCAGCACTAGTAAATATAGTTGATTCCATACTGAGAAGTATGTGGAGCTGGAGGCTCGGCTGCCCACTCTCCAAATAACTGTTGGCTGAGGGGGGAACAAAGAGCCCTAGAAGGCCTGCTTATTTTAGCTTTGAAACTGTTTCCAGTCCCATAAGATGAAAACAATTTGCAGATTAGGGCACTTGGAGGCATATATTGGATGGAGAAATGCATGATCACAGCTACAAAGGCGGTTTTGTGCCTTTAAGACAGGAGTGGTCCAGCTTTCTGAAGTCATTCAAACTCAGGGTTACGTTCCCTCAGGGTCTGTTCTCCTCCATCGGGGAGGCTTAACTTTATTCTCGAGCTTGTGGCTGTAGAATGAAGGGTCCCTGTGCACCCTGACACACAGCAGCCCAATTTTGTCTCTTGAAATCCAAAATGTAGTTTCTTGATTGATTTTACTAGGCATGGGGTGGGTCTCTCCTTCAGGATAAGCCTAGCTATTCCTGACTTGTGTACAACTCAAGAAGATGAAATCTTCAATCCAAAACTTTTAAGAGGGCAAAGTCCCCAGCCTCATCCTAGCACTCCATCATTAACTCCTTAAATTATAGAGAAACACAGTCAATCCCCACTCTTAGAATTCACACTGCCCCTTCCCAATTTTTAAGCATCATTTTTAAGCATCATTAAGCAACGTCCCAGCATTTATGTTTGCTTCAAAAACAAAGCCAATTTTCCTGAATTAAGAGCATGGACTTTCCCTGCATCTCTGGTGCAAGCCTGGATCTGGTGGTGCTCCTGGTGTTTTTCTTCCACCAGGGCATTCCAGGAGAAGAATCCCTTAACCTCATTGCAAGAACCGAGAACCTGCTGTTCAGCAGAAGGAAAACCCAGCAAAACATAACCTATTAATTTAGCAAAGAGCTTTAAAGAACAGGGTGCCTTGTTCTTTTAAAGTTTGCACAATAACAGAAAAAAGGAATTCCCACAGAAGGCAAATGATGACAGATCAGTCACTAGACCAACTGTAACAAACAACCCCGAAACCCACAAGTCCACCCACACTTCCTAGAATAGACAAGAGTGGGTTACTTACAGCCCCTTAAAAGTGAAACAAAAATGGCTTTCTGGAAAGACTCTTAGTTGCTGAGTTATGTTCTTTTGTGGGGTAAGAAAGGGTTGTGTTGGTATTTAAAAATGATCCTAACCACATGTATAACCCAATTTCATGCATGTTTACTCAGAGGTAAGCCCCACTTTGCTCAATGGAGCTCACCTAAGTCCTCCTGTTCCTGAATTGTTCCGACCCCAGCAGCTGGTTGCTATAACAACACTATTGTTGAGAACTGTTGCCTGAGTTTGCTTTTTCCCTCCTCCCTCCCCACCCCCTTTTCCTTGTATCACTTTTTTAAAAAAGAATGTATGTCTGCCTTGTTTTAAATTATTGTAACATAAGCCGCTCTGGAAGACTTTTTGGCTGAAAGCAGGGCAAAAGTAATAATAATAATAATGTGTGCAGACAAACTTATGACCTTATTTGGAAATAAGTCCCATTGGGCTATAAGTCTGCAATTCTATGCATACTAATTGTATGTCAGGATTTAAGTGGGACTGTATGCCTGAGTCTGCATGCATAGGATAAGCAATGAAGATATGGCATTTTAAAAGTTCACAGCCCATCCCTCAGCTGCAAAACTCTAATACTTAAGCTAATGAAAGGAAAACAAGAGTATGTCTCAGCCAAATCTTAATAATTTTATGAGCTATCATTATGCTTCTCAGCATATGCTATGACTCAAGTGTGGGGATGGCAGGAAAAGAAAATAACTACAACGACAATTCACCTAAGGTGGGGGGGGGTTAAAGATACTGGGTTCTAGGCATGTCTGGAGAGCCTTTGGACAGCTGAAAGATGGAGTGTTCCCTTGATTACAGGGATCTAGCCAGGCTTCCTTCATAAGCAGGAATGTGACTTTTCCAGTAAGGCATCAGAGAAAATAAAAGCCAGTGATTTATTTACAAACAACAGAGTCTTCTACACTGCAGCCACACAGTCCCAAACTTTCATGGGATTTGGTGCTTATGAATTGTTGGCAACGGAATGCCAAGGTGAATCTGAACTATGGAACACAAAAAGTTGCCTTATATATCAAGCCAGACTATTACTCTTTTGTCTTGCCCAGCGGAAGCCAATTTGGTGTCCTCCAGATGTTTGCTGAACTGCAGCTCCCATCATCCCTGACCACAGGCCTTGCTGGATGTGGCTGATGGGAACTGGAGTCCAACAATATCTTGAGGACACCAGGATGGCTATCCCTCCCTGGTCTAGTCTCACGGGCAGACATTATCCAGGGTTTCAGGCAGTGGTCTTTCCCATCACCGGATCCCATTCTTAAGAATGTAAGACAAGACCCACTGGAATGGACCAAAGGGCCAGCCCATCTAATCCAACATCTTTTTCTCACTGTGGAAACACACAAGCAGGGCAGCAGATATCTGCAATAGCACTCTCCTATCTGTGCTGCCCAGCGACTGATGCTTAGAGGTATTGAAGGTGAACATGAGATCTTATGCATGCAACCTATGTGCTCTACTAATGAACTATAGTCTGTCCTCATTTGGAACATCCAGGTTTTATTTGAAAAGAAAATCACATCCCTCCCCATATTTACATTCAGACTCTTCCACGCATTTATGATGAGCCACTTTCCCTTATTTGCGAGTTGTGCGTGTGTTTTCACCCTTTAATGCCACTGAAATCACTATTCTTTTCAAAATCGCCCTAAGCGGCAGTCTGATGGGCATCTCGTGGCAGATGCTGACTGACACACAGAGGTTTAAGAGCACCCCGCTTTTACCCGCGGTGATTCACGAGGCCTGGGGCGAAAATGACTAGGGATTCATCCCTCGTCGAGGAAACACGCCCGGAGAATCCGCTTCCGGACACACCGCGGCGATCCCAGCATTGTTTCCGACTTTCTCAGGCAGCCTCGAGTTGTGCCTTTTCACAAGGCGGCAGCCAATCGCTCACCCGCGGCATCCACTCGCCGCCACCGCGTCGCCCATCACTTGCGGAGGAGGGAAAGGGAACCAATGGGCGGTGCGCGGGAGGAGCCGGGGGCGGGGCGAGTCAAGCGGCGGGGGAAACTCCCACCCTGGCCAAGTTGACAAGCTCTTGAGCCAGGCGGCGTGTTTTTGGCTGGGGCGTCTTTGGGGCAGCAGCGCGACGCGAGGCTCTCGTCTCTTCCCCAGTGCATGCTGGTAAGTGCAATGTCCTTATAGCCCTGGAGGACGGCATGGAAATATCCTTGGGGGGAACTGGTGATGGGGCTAGGCAGCAAATCTATCTATCTAAATAGGAAAAGAAGTTGTGCCTCCTCCTGTCTTAGGTCAGTGGGACTCGCTCTTTCTTTTTTACGTCCAGCCTGAACTTCTTCAAGGAGTTGTGTGGACGATCACGGGGGTGTGGCCGGCTCCGGGAGAAGCCTTCTGTTTCTTGGGCTGGAGGGGAAGTTTTGGTGTCTTGGAGGAACAAACTTTTGCCGTCGATGCTGAAGCGCTTTTTGGCGATCAGGCAACTAGTGATGAGCTGTAAGAAGAATTTGTCTGATTTAGGGGAACTTGGCCTTCTTTTCTCCACGGTTGCTTCAAGGTGGCTTATATAGGGTACCCAGGCGGTCCTGGGTTGCAGTCCTGACCCCCTGTGCTTGGTGTGAGTTACCAGTGACTTCGGCTGGAAGTGGTTTGTGCCCATTGCCTTGACTGTCAAGCTTTGCACCATGCGCATAGTAAGGGTGCGCAAGATTACAGCCCCCCTCCAACCTGCTCACACACTGAACACAAAGTGGGCTTATTGCTGAGGAAACTTTCTGAGGCTTCGGCTTTGCCCGACTTCCTTCCCTGAGTTAAATGTGGACGGTTTGTGGTGATCATGAAATGAAGGCAGCAATATTATCCACACTTACTTAGGAGTTTGTCAGTTAAGGGGCGCCGAGGGAAATGTTCTGCCAGACTTCCATAACGTTTTGTTCACCTCGTATCGAACTAATGGTCTGATTGTTTAAGTGGATGTGAACCCGAGTAGCATTTGGTTGGAAAAAACCTGTGTTAGCTTTTTAGTTTATTATTACAATCCTCATCCTCCTCTTCTTGTTATTAATGACATCTGCATGCTTCATAACATAGTTATTTGAGGGCATCTTAAATTACTTCATCTTAAACTGGCTGTCAAGGAAGAGCTGGCTATCTATACATGTGTGAAGCTGGGGTAGTCAACATGGTGCCCGCGGTGCCTGCAAAGCTTCTGAGCTCCCTCCTCACTATTCACCATGAGATTGCCAGGATGCTTCATCACATGTCCACTGTCAAGCCAGGATGCTTACCAAACCCCCTTATTAAAAAGGAGGAAGTTAGAACAGCGACACTCTTTCCCACTTCTTTAAGTTCTACAGTATGTACCTTTCAGGGCTCGGCTGAACAGAAAGCAAAGTGACCAAGAGGAAAGGAGGGAGAGGGAAGTGATCAGGGAAAGGTGGGGAATAGAGGGAAGGGGGTGAGAAAACGGGGTGCCATAGGAGTCAAGAGAGAGAGCCCTTGAAGTGCTGTGGAGAGAGATAATGATGGGGTTTGAGGAGAGAGAGAAGGCTGGAAGCAGTAAAATGGATTCTCTTGAAATGTTGTATTTCTTCACACATCACCCCCTACACACACACACACACACACACACAAACAAAACCATCAACTCAAATATCATATATCTGTTTTCATTGACTTTAACAATCATGGACCCGATCTGAGGCACAGATCCTTATAATTTTTACAAGGGATCCCTTCAGAATTGACATCAAATTATAGGTCACTTCTGTGTTCACAAATGTGTTCTGTGCTTTGTGGTTTTACTATTATTCTATGTAAAAATCACAAACATACGTGAGGATCTGTGCTGTGGGCCAATGTTTCTGGACCTGTGACTTTGAAAAAACCATGTAAAATGATTCGCATTCCAGAGGATCTGTTTCACTTCTGCTTTCTGAATCAAACTTTGGGGCAGAGCCCATGAAAAAGCAAAGTGTGTGTGTGTGTGTGTGTGTGTGTGTGTACTGCCTCACTTTCTGTCTGTCAAAAGGAAGTGTCACAGGGGAGGGGTGAGAAAAGCATGGCCTCATCAATGTTAACAACTGCTGGTATTAGTGATTAGAAAACACTTGTTCATCATTTCTTTATAACATCAGGGAAATCCAAAAAGAAGCAAATAATCTATTTTATAATCTATTTTAATACTGGGTTCTAATTACACTGAATTGGATCTAGTTAGAATCCAGTAATTAGAAGTATGTATTGTAGCATGATGATATTACTTTACCCGAACCTTTTATATAATTTCTTCCCCATTTTTAAAAAACTGGATTCTCTTCCTTACTTTTCCCTTTCACTTTATTCTCCTAGGGCCTAAATGGCTAAATAGAATGCTTATCAATTAATTAAGATCAATCTCAAATAGGTGATGAGTACTTAAATTGCAGATTTAAGATAGCTCCATTTTAATTTTAAAATCATAACTGATCTATTACCTTAGACTTCTCTATATTTTTAGGGTGTGTTTGATTTTTGAAGGAACATGATTCCTCAATCCAGGAATTGGGAAACAAAATCAAATAGGTTTGGGTCGGGACAATTTCTTTTAAACTTAAATTTTATTGTTTTAGTGTATATGTTGAATGAACGTGACAGAAAATTTACACCAATATGTATTAACAAGTCAGAACTTCAAATACGGATGATATAACCAATTTTGGTCATCCAGAAAACAGTTTGTTGTGGAAGGGAAATAATAGGTCTGATCCAGATTAAAATACTTAAACTTGGTTTCCATTGAAATCAATATGAAAAGTTAGCAAGGGCTGATTTAAGTCGCATTCATTTCAACTAACATGGACTGTATCCAGCTCAGTGTTAAAGAAGAACTAAGTTTGAGTAAGCTGTTCCTGTAAATTTCTAAGTACCGGTAACTAATTTCCTGTGTGCTTTGGAAGAGTAAGGAGTGTGAAGGCAGTTGTGCAAACCTGTTGTTTCCATTGCTACTGCATTTACAGTTAACGGCTCTGATTCTAAAAATGAAACAAAAACTTGAATTTGGAAACAAAGCATTACTTCCTTCGTGTCTCCTCACAATCTCTTCTCTATCCCACCTTACTGGTGTTTCAGAGGATGCCCCTGTACTTTGCACACACAGTGCAGTGGGGCAAACCATGTTGACTCCCCCTACGTCTGGCGTCACTGCAGCTTCCCTGGATGGCACTGGGGTGGGATGCCCCACAGCTGCCACCAGTGTGCCCAACGTTGCTGCCATCCTGCCCCACCCTGGTGTCATCCAGCTAAGCTGCACCACTTTCTGTGTCCATGAAAGTAGCTCTACCTCACTACACCAGCCAATACTGAAAAGGACCCCTATTTTTTCCAGGGTGGCATTTTTCAAGTTCTCTACACTTTGATTATGGCAGAGGCAATTAAAAAATATACTGGCCTGGTTCACACATTATCATAAGGCAAATGGTTGTTCTTGGGTACAGCTTAGTGAGGAGAGAGCTTAACAATGAACCTGGGTTCAGACAACATGCTAAGACAAACCTTGGCTTAGCTGAGCATGTGTGAGAGTAAAAAATATCAGGGAGGAGCAAAGCAGCAGTGAGCTCCTTTCTGGAGACAGTACATTCATGAGGTCCTAGTAAACTATAGGTGAGCTTACCATGAACCAAGACTGTGTTATTCTGGTACAATATTTCAGATGGCAGGATGTTAGCTCCCTTTCTATACAGTCTTCCATAGACCCATGGCATAGCTCTGTTTTATAGTAATTATAGATATTTATGTAGACACTTGTGTACCCTTTAAGGGGTTTTTTAGGAGCCATGTATGAACTGAGACACTTACCAATTAATCTAATGTGCTTGAACCTCTTGTAAATGGAAGCTGCAGTGTTATTCATTTTATATGAAAGCATCTTTTAGGCTTCTTCAATGCTATTCCAGCTTCCTGGGAATAAGTCTGATGGGGAGTAAGCCTCACTTGGGTTTACCTCTAGGCAGACCTGGAGAGGACTGGGCTGGTTATGGTTTGAAATACTTAGACCCAGAATTGGGTGTGATCAAATATATATATATATATATATATATATAAAGTGCTACTAAAATGTACTGAAGAATAAAATGCAACTTTAAACCCACAAAAGGTTTTAACATACAATAAAGATATGGATAAAATTACTACAGTACAATAATATATTCAGAAAATCTGATCTGACAAACAAACAAAAAATATCCCAACCCAACACTTTTTGACCCCACAAAGGGTCTTCCTCGGTGTTCAATGAATTTGTGACACATTATTTGTCACCAAATTCCACATGGATTCAACATTCATAGGAAAAGTCTTTGAGTGTATTCTATTTGGATGGAAATCATTAGGTTGGAATTACCCCTTTGACTTCTATTCCTTTGATCAACTGGAATGGCATCTGAAATCCTGCATGTTTTCCTTGCTTGTGACATCTGCATTTGAGAGTCTTGTAGGTGGTTGCATGAATACGTACAAATATACATCATGGAAAATGTGCAGTATAAACAAGGCAACAAGAATCTGAGGCGCTCTGGGAATTTTTGATTGGTAACAGCTTTTATTTCATAATGCTATGTGTACATGCGATTGTTGTAATCATGAGGTTACAGTCACTTGATAGCATGTGACTTGTAGGGATAATGTGGTGAGAAGTTAGATAATAGAATTAGAGCTCTTTGAATGTATGATACAGTGTTGGTGCTTAGTAATCTTACCTGCATACTTGGCTTCTTAGCTGTTATGAGTCAAGTAGTCATTAACAAGGAAATATATAAGATGTGTCTTATGACTTGCATTACACCAGTATTGTAATGTGTGCATGTTTAAGGGTTACTGGGAGCTACTTTGATTCTAGCTTCCAAAAAATAGTGAAGTAGGACACCTTTATTTTCAGTTGTTCATTAGGCGTAACACCTGTGTTTTGTTTTCTGCTATCATGAGAATAACCTAAGCTATCTTCTCTTCAGTCTTTGATTACTTTAATCTGTTGGGAGCCGCCCAGAGTGGCTGGGGAAACCCAGCCAGATGGGCGGGGTATAAATAATCAAATTATTATTATTATTATTATTATTTAATATTCTTTGAAGCATGGGCCTAATTTTACTCTGCCTCCTAAGTTGGGGCCAAACACACTAAGTTGGGGCCAAACTAGAGGTGACTTGAGAGATCTAAGGAAAAGGATCTCCTACACTTTTAAAACAAATGTTCTTAGCAAGAAGAGATTCAGACTGGGACCCTGGTGCTGGAGGAGGAGGGAGTAAAACTCTTTCCTCTGCGTCATTTCCTCATTTTATTTCCTTTACCAAATAAAAGTTAGGGATGGGGGAAATGGAGCAGGGCAGAGAAAGCTAAACCTTGCTTTCCCAGTACAGCAAAGTTCTGTAGTTCCCCGGACCCAGAGTGATTTTCTATACAGCACACAGAAACCTAGAAAAGTGCTGGCTGATATGCATTCTGAGTTGTCCCTGAAGGGGCACTTAAACAACAAGTCAAACAGGACTCTCATCATTTGAACAGTTAGTCCCCCGAGTCTTAAGGCAGCAGCTGTTAATTGCTTGTGAGTCCTGTCTGACTAGTTCTGTTGTCATCAGTGTAAGGCATCCTAAATATTCAAACATCAATAAAAACAAAGCCAAGGCAGGCCTGAGACATTCTGGCGCTTCTCATGCTGCACTTGAATATCCTTACATTGAAGGCATGGAGGATACGGAAGAGAACTACAGTATAAAGGATTTATATGACTTGAGTTGGGTTGTAGGGAAATGTTTCTGGCAAACCAGAGCAGCGCACGGAAACACTGTTTACCTTCCCGCCGGAGCAATACCTATTTATCTACTTGCACTTTGATGTGCTTTCGAACTGCTAGGTTGGCAGGAGCAGGGATTGAGCAATGGGAGCTCACCCCGTCGTGGGGATTCGAACCACCGACCTTCTGATCGGCAAGTCCTAGGCTCTGTGGTTTAACCCACAGCGCCACCTGCGTTCCTCCAGAAGAAACTGTAGATGTAGCATAAAGTGCTGGTGGGGCCGAGGACAGGAGTTACAGGCTGGATGTTCACCCTGTAACCTGAATGCCTGTTTCTTCAGGGATAGCCAACATGATGCCCTTCAGACGTTCTGGACTACAACTCACCCATCACAGCCAATGGTCAGGGGTGCTGAGAGTTGTAATCCAAAACATCTGAAAGGCACCATGTTGGCGATCTCTGTACAATTAGCAATGGCTTTGACTTTCTGTGGCCTAGAAAAATAGTTCAGTCTGAACATGTATCTAGAAATCTACATGATACATGGAAAAAGGCAGGAGGGAGGGATGGAGGAGTATGGGGAAAGCACAGAAGAAGTGTAGAGTGAAATTATCATGCTGAAGTCAAAGTACATGGTATGATTTTGCATTTCAGCCAATCTCTTCTCTTTCTTTGTTTTGCCTCAAATTATAACAACATTGCTATCACCCACCTGCCAGCTAACAGACTTATGGATAGCTCCCAAATACTGTTGATACTTCAACTGCTCAGTCCTAGGTCTGCTGTAATGTGCATATTTGTTGCTAGTTAAATCAGATATGTCTTCAAACTATGCATACAATGAAATACACTTTCAGTTTCACACACTAATGCTGTAATTTGGTTTGCTTAAAAGTTAAGACAATTAACAGTATTTCATTCCTGAACAAAATTAATTTTATGGTACAATAGCTTTTCTGTATCCCATGTTAACCAATATGGAATGCTCCTCTTGGTTAATTTACTGGGAGGGGTGGCGCTGTGGGTAAAACCTCAGCGCCTAGGACTTGCCGATCGCATGGTCGGCAGTTCGAATCCCTGCGGCGGGGTGAGCTCCCGTCGTTCGGTCCTAGCTCCTGCCCACCTAGCAGTTCGAAAGCACCCTTAAGTGCAAGTAGATAAATAGGTACCGCTTTATAGCGGGAAGGTAAACGGCGTTTCCGTGTGCTGCTCTGGTGCCGGTTCGCCAGAGCAGCTTTGTCACGCTGGCCACGTGACCCGGAAGTGTCTGCGGACAGCGCTGGCTCCCGGCCTCTAGAGTGAGATGAGCACACAACCCTAGAGTCTGGCAAGACTGGCCCATACGGGCAGGGGTACCTTTACCTTTACCTTTAGAGATCATTTTACCACACCTTAACTGCTCTGAGTATAAGGTTCTAGAACTGTGAATTTGCGTGGGGGGGGGGATGATCTCTGGTCAGCTGACATGTCAAATATTGGTCAAGTAATTTGGAATATATCCACTTTTTTAAAAAAAAAAAATCACTGAACCGTTCAACTCAGTCTTTTATGCTGGAACACCAGAGTCCATCTCTAATTATGAAAGGTTGTATCAAAAATTAACTTTCTAACATATAGAAAGCAAAGTAACAGTAAATATTAAACAACAGCTGTTTAAGGCAGTATGCAGCGGACCACTTCTTGTAATTTAATCAGCATCATGGCTTCATGGAATATTTGACTGTGGTTAAATAGGTGGTTGATTGACAAGACTGAACATTTTGCCAACATGTTAACCCTGATTAAATTATCTTGCTGAAGCAGACTCTGAATAAACCACTTCCATGTCATGGCCTGATGTTACAATGATAGAGACATGAAGGTTGCTGGTTCAGTGCAGTACCAGATTTAGGGCAGTGTGCATGGTTCCCCTCCACAGGATGCCGAGCCATGGGAGCACAAACAACAACAACAACATCCTATATTTACATGAGTAGCTACGTAAAGTTAGGTCCCAGTCAGAAGGGCAATAGAGTTGTGATTGGGGGGGGGGGTGATGGGGAGGCAACTTTTGTTCTTGCTCAGGATGCCCTATTACCAAAGTCTGCCCCTGGTTTGGTGAGTCTATTCTTGTCATGACTTACTCCAGATCCAACCCATGGATATTGCTGCTTGTAACTATCACCACTGTGATATCACACCCTGGCCACATGGAAGCATTTTACTTATGTCTGTCGCTTGGTTGCCATGAGAGCCAGTGTGCCGCACAAGGCAGAGTGCCGGACTTAGATAATGAGAATCTGTCTTCCCATCTCTGCCCAGGCTTTAAGCTCACTGGTGATCCAGGGCAAGCTACTTTACAAGGTTGTTTTGATGAGAACATTGGTTGCGTGGGTGCCACCTTGATATATTTGGAAGGATAAAATGTACCTTATTTATTCATTCATTAATTCATCAGGCCTTGGAGGGCAGCCAAAAGGTATTAACCTAGAGCATAATTGTATTAGAATAGACTAATAAATGTGATAGATAGATAAATAAATAAATGGATTAATTATGCTTATCTGCAGTATGCAGCTTTAAACACTGGCCTTGAAAAAAGTTTATGACGATGTCATTTACTTTTGAATAGGATAAAGAAGAGGAGCTGTTAAAGGCTAAATTTCTTTATCTAAAAACAGCATAAGCTATCTCCTGTAGAATCCTTTTAAAGCAATTGTGATACCATACAGATTCCCCCTCCCCAAAATATCCCATTGAACTGTAAAGGCTACTTTTGGATCTGCAAACTAAATGTCTCATTTAAATCAATGGATGGAATGGAATCAAAGTCTAGTCACTAATCAAGACTTTAGTTTGTGCTTCTGTTCGAATAGTAATGGTAATGGAATCGTCATGGCAAAATGTCATTCCTGATCTTGCCATGGAATATAGACAAGTATACTGAATTATATAAAGGGCATGGAGTTTACAACACTCAGTAATGTTTCAGAAAAGTAGAATATTTTGTAAAGTTCATGATGCTCCGGTAAATATATTTGGAACATCAAACACACTGTCTTGTGTGCAAAGCTATTTAGATCATTAAGAGAAGCTTGCTATTTCTACTAATTTTTATTTTCTTATTTCTGTCCCTAGAGGCCAAAATGAGAGATCGACTCTTTGAATTTTTTGAGTTATCGAGGCTTTACAGCCAACATACTCACGATGAAGAAAATCAACCGCTCTTACCTCACAACACTCTGCTGTTTGAAACAGATTATGCCTTGGCAAGTCTCTTCAAAGATATCCAGGCAATCCGAACGAGCAATCTCCACCTGAAAGAGGACATTAGACGCCTGGGCAAACAAAACACTCGCTTCCTCACCTCTATGCGCCGCTTCAGTAGCATAAAACGTGACACAAACACGATTGCGAAAGACATCAAGGCTCGTGGAGAAGAAATCCACAGGAAGCTTCAGGTTTTGAGAGACTTCAGTGAAGATGCAGAAACAAAATATGGCTCAAACACAATCATAGCCCGTGTGGCCAAGGACCACTATGTTGATCTCATGCATTCTTTTCAGGAGGCCATGTTTAAATACAATGAGACAGAGATGAACCAACGGGAGAACTGCAAGATTAGGATCCAACGGCAGCTAGAGATCATGGGAAAGGAAGTGTCTGGGAACCAGATAGAGGACATCATTGAACAAGGCAGGTGGGACGTTTTCTCTGAGAACCTTCTGTCTGACGCAAAGGGAGCTCGTTCGGCCTTGAACGAGATAGAGACCCGGCACAAAGAGCTGATGAAGCTGGAGTCCCGAATCAAGGAAGTTCATGAACTCTTCTTGCAGGTAGCCCTGCTGGTAGAAGAACAGGCAGACACCTTTGATATTATTGAGCTTAACGTGCATAATGTTGAAGAATATGTTGGAGAAGCTAAAGGTGAAGTGAGGAGAGCTCTCGAATACCGAAGGAAGCATCCTTGCCGAACAATCCTCTGCTGCTGCTTGCGATGCTGCAAAATTTGATTGTCCTCATGAAATTACTAGATAAGTGTTTTGGGGACACTCTCAGATTCGAAGACACTTAAAGTTTGTGCTCAGTTTGAGAGAAATTGCTCTAAAGCAGTGTCCTTTTGTTTCCTTATGTTCATTAATGACTCTGGTGCACGTATTGCAGCTTGTACCAAAAGCCAAAGGATATTGGCGAGTTGTCATGTATTCCAGTATAATGGAAGGTAAAATTAACCTGGTCTGCAACATTACTGCAAAATTACACATACACCGGAGCATATACAAAGCAAAGGAAATGTTGACCAGGTGTAGAATGAATTTCTCCTAAATTAATGCTTTCCATGAAATTTAAACAACAATCTGCATAGACTTTAAAGTAAGCAGTGTTGTGGCCAGTTGTTTTTTCCTGGATGAAAGAAAAAAGTACAAAATTACAGGTGTGATTCTCAGTAATGTTGTTTAGAAAACTAGCATGTGCACATGATCTGAGAATTTTGATACAAGATTTGTTGTAATTGTACACAGCATATACTTATTTTTTTATATATGTTCTGATATTTCTGTATATTAAAATAAATGTGGAAGCCTTAACTATCTTTTTGTTAGTGTATAAAGAAAGATCTTGAATTGCTTTCTGTCCAGTGTTTTTATTCATCATGATGGCATTTGTGGGAGCAGGGAAACATGGAAGCAGCCAGAACCAGGCGAAGGCATTTTCCTACCTCAGGTGGAGCAGCAAATGGTGTATCCACCCCCCAGGTCCAGGTGCAGAGCAACCAAAGCTGCTTGTTACTTGACACCTGACACAGAAAATCTTACAATGTCTGTTCCCTCCCTTGCAGTGAAAATACAAGAATACAGTAATAAATTAAATTATACAAAATTAGCTGCCCTTTTATGATACCCAGAATCAGCTGCCTAAGGCAGAGTGATAGTAGTTACATTTGCCAGAGGCTACAAGAAAGACCAGGACACAGTCTGAGGTCACCTCCTCACCATACATTAAAAGGGCGACAAGTGTAGTTTGTTCAGGGTGCTGATCTCAGAGAGCAACAGTCCCTAGGATTCTCCATGACGTGCTATAATGGTGCTTTAATTGTATGGTGTGGACATGGCCCGAGAAAACAGAGTTTGCTGTGGAAATTGTGCTGCTTATGCACATGGAAGCTTTTTGCATCATCCACATGGCAGCAGCACCGCTATCTTCATTTTTCTTCTTTTAGTGCAGATTTACCCATTTACACAGTTAATGAACATACTTTAAAAAAAAATCTGCTGTAAATAGCAGCTATAGTAAAGCCTGGGCAGCACCAGGACTGCAGGGGCTGGGGAGGGAAAGCTTAACTCTCCCTCCACCACTGTGGTCCTGATGAAAATACTCCCTACCCATGCTGGGTTTTTTGCAGTGGGAGGGAAGACTCCACCGGTACCAGCAGAGGCTTCCTTCCTGATGCAAATAGCAGCTAAAGGGGATTATATTTGTCAGGAGCACAGCAGGTGTGGGTGGGAGGATTATAATTTCATTCCCACTCTTTGCCATACTGTTCAGGCTGTTCATTCACACACACACACACACACACACACACACACGCATATTAATTGCTTCCATACAATGAACTTCAGAAATACTGAAGGGACGCAGTATTCGCGGTTCGAATCCCAGCGACGGTGTGAGCTGTTGCTCGGTCCCTGCTCCTGCTAACCTAGCAGTTTGAAACCCGTCAAAGTGCAAGTAGATAAATAGGTACCGCTCCGGCGGGAAGGTAAACAGCGTTTCCATGTGCTGCTCTGGTTCGCCAGAAGCGGCTTAGTCATGCTGGTCACATGACCTGGAAGCTGTATGCCGGCTCCCTCGGCCAGTAAAACGAGATGAGCGCCGCGACTGGACCTAACATTCAGGGGTCCCTTTACCTTTAAGAAATACTGAACTGTGGAACTCTTGTAAATTTCCTTTTGTAGTATGTTCTTCTATCACTAAGCAGCACTCACTAGCTCTGGATATTTTAAGTGACTTGGGTTTTATCTTTTCCTAGTCATTGAGCTGGCACTCAAAACAAGGATACATGGTAGCGTCCACACAGGATGTGAAAGAAGTTACAACTATTTGTAGATTCTTGCTTACACAAGAGACTGGAGGTATTTTTGTTGTTGTTGTCATATTGCTAATACAGTGGGACCTCGGGTTAAGAACTGTTCTTAACCTGAAACTGTTCTTAACCTGAAGCACCACTTTAGCTAATGGGGCCTCCTGCTGCCGCTGCGCCGCCAGAGCACAATTTCCATTCTCATCCTGAAGCAAAGTTCTTAACACGAGGTAATATTTCTGGGTTAGCGGAGTCTGTAACCTGAAGCGTATGTAACCCGAGGTACCACTGTATTTAAAGAATTTTGAAACTGAATTTCCCAGTAGCTGAAAGCTGAAGAACCTGCACTGGTTTCATGTAAAAAACAATAACCCTGCTTGCTAATTGCTCCTGAAGGTGTCTTTTACTACAAACAGCACCTTTGAAGGCAAACGGCAGCCATGGGGTAATTTTGTGTGCAGAATCCTGATCAGGAGCATCCCCCACTTGGTGCTCCATCTGCTGCTCTCCCTTCAAAATAAAATTGGCTAGTTTAAGATTTGCAACTGTCTGTCTCCATATTAATGTAGGAGTGTTCATACAACTCCCCATCCCAGTGTTGTCACATACCTTTCCTATGGGATGACCAGCCTCATATAACCAGGTCTAATGAAGGGCTTAATACCATAGAGTGAGCTGTCCTGCCTGGCTGAACTATGCCCACTTCCCCTCACATTGGGAAGAATTAGGTGATCAAGCTTTTGTTCTCCCCCAGTGTACCTGAGAAACTCAGTATGTGAAGATGTTTGCGCTGGTTGCTCCAGATCAGCCACATGGTTCTCTAAAGCCACTCTTGAGTTCCTATACAAATAATTTAGGAACTTTCACCACTTTGTAACTAAGTCAAATTTTACTGCCTGTGCAACTTTATGAAGTACATTAATCTGACCTTTGCAGAGTTTTCAGTAAACAATTTTTAATTTTCCAAATGTGTGGTCTTTTCTTATGCTAGGGGGAAGAGGGAAACTTTGGAAAGAAACTTTTAAAGGAAATATTTTGGAATTTACTTGAAAAGGCACATAATACAACTCTAATATAACTAAATTGCTTTGGGTTGCCTTGAACAAAAAAGAATGACTGACAAATTTAATAAATAATAATAATAATATTTTATTTAGGATTTCTTGGCCACAGAGAAGCTGTTTACAATTTACAGAATAATGATGCATTCAGGAAACCTGGATTTTAGTCTTTAATTTTAATAAAGTTGGGAGCAAAGAGATGAATATAAAGTTAAAGTGCTAGCAACTGTTTAAGGGCCATTTGTTTTAAGAAACTAGATGGTTTGCTTTTTCCATTTGCTTACTGATGAACTGAAGGCCTTTTCATTACTGCAGTACTTTAAGGTCACTTCTAAACGGTTCTTAGTTTCCTTAACAAAACCGCAGTTTTGCCAGGAAATGCATTGTACCACAACTCTTTTTTTTTACCCTTCAAAATCAAGAAAAAAAGACAACAATTTTTTTCTTTTCTTTTCTTTTTAAAACACTCATTAATGAATGGCAGGCCACCAAATAAATTTCTGGACTCATTAAGCTTTATGCATATTAAAATATATAATGCAAATTAGGTACAGTTTAAACACACCAAAAGCACAAATTAAAATTGCAGAGCTTTGACAAATTAAAAACCAAAGTTCGAGATTGGCTGCATTATTATCAAATAAGGGAGGTTTTTAACTTAGATAGAAAGATTGGTTTCCAGGAGGAAAATCTAAACTGGAAACGGAATTGTTAGAACCTAAAACTAAAAATCTGTCAAGAATGTATAATCTGCTGTTGAAATGGAATACACAGGATGAAATGGTTAAATCTGCTATGATTAAATGGGCGCAAGATGTTGGGCATAATATCATGTTTGCTGACTGGGAACGGTTATGGACCACAGGTATGAAATTTACGGCTTGTAACGCCTTAAGAGAAAACATAATGAAAATGATTTACAGGTGGTACTTAACCCCAGTCAAGCTAGCAAAAATTTATCATCTGCCTGATAATAAATGTTGGAAATGTAAAGAAAACGAAGGTACCTTTTTTCACCTTTGGTGGACGTGCCCAAAGATCAAGGCCTTCTGGGAAATGATATATAATGAACTAAAAAAGGTATTGAAATATACTTTCTTGAAGAAACCAGAGGCCTTCCTCTTGGGCATGGTCGGCCAATTGGTGCGAAGGGAAGACAGGAATTTTTTTATGTATGCGACAGCAGCGGCAAGAATACTTATTGGGAAATACTGGAAGACACAAGAATTGCCTACCCGAGAAGAATGGCAGAGGAAAGTGATAGACTATATGGAACTGGCTGAGATGACCGGCAGAATTCGAGATCAGGAAGAAGGGTCGATGGAAGAAGACTGGAAAAAATTTAAAATATATCTTCAGAAACACTGTAATATAAAAGAATGTTAGAAAAGGTTGGAGAAGAATATTAGACCGTATTGGGAGACAGAGTATAATGGAATAAGTAAATATGAAGTGTAAAACAAAGATAGAGGAGAATTAAATACTTTCGAATGTTAAAATAAGTAAATGAAAAGAAGGTTAGAAGGATTTGCTGGAGATACGACTCAAATTAGAATACAAAGCAGAGAGGTGAGAGGAAGTAACGGAAATAAGTAAATGGGAAGACGGTTCTAATGGTTTAATTTGATTTTTTGTTACTTTTTTATTGTGATTTTTTGTCTTTTGTATTTTTCTTTGTACTGTTTGTTTTTTTTGTAAGATGTATGTGATTTGTTTTTCTTTTTCTACTTTTTTCTTTCTCTGTAATTTTAAAATTGGAATAAATATTCTTTAAAAAAAAAAAAAAAAACACACCAAAAGCACATTTAAGTTTAATCAATCTGTGGTTAATTCAACATGGTTTGGGGGTAATGGAACAGTGCATATCCTCCAGTCTTTCAGTAAGCTCTTATTGGTGGAATGAGATTCTAAACCATGCTAGCTACATTGTGAAGACAGAATTATTGGTAGTTATTATTTCAGGTTAATCAGAATTAAACTGATAAAAGTTTTTAACACAGTGCATCAGAAGTCTTCCAGGAAAGTGTGAATAGGATTGCAGCCCTTTTTTTAATTAAACATGCATGGAGTTATTACATGACAAAATAAGGCTCATCCACACTGTTGCTTAATATGGGTAGTAGGCTTCCTGTATCTCCATTAATTCTCCCTTGTCCATAGAATATTTTTTTCTAAATTGCTACCTTCCCACATGCTCAGAGACACACCTAGAAAGGCAGATATACAGAGAGCCTTTCTAAGTGCACCAAAGGGCTTAAGCATGCCTGGTATCCCTTTTTTTTGTTTCACCTTTTTATTTTTGAGAGGCATCCTTCACATGCCAAACAAGCTGCTTTTCAATATCCCTTCAGTTTCAAAAGCAGTTTGTTGTGTGACATTAACATTTAAAGTGTACACACATAAACACACCAAGAATACTGGGAACTGTAGTTTGCCCCTCACAGAGCAATAGTTCTCTGCACCCTTAATCAAGCACACTT